GCCCTGCAGAAGATCCAGACATTTCTCTGCTGGCATCGATCCGTGACAACGCGCGACACCGAGACCCCACATGTTACCTTCGCAGTGGACAGTCACGCTCATATAGCGACGGTTTTTCAGGGACGTATACTCGTCGATCGTAAGTGAGAACCGTTTGCCATTTGACAATTCTTCGGCCAGCTTCGCCTTCACGTCACACTTCAGGCGAGCACAGTGTTTGAGGACACGCCGGCGGATCGTGTTGTGATGGGTTGGAAGGTTTTTATATCCTTTAGCAGCCAAAAGTCCGCGTAGGTCCGGTGAGGTACAGAAAACTGTAAAAGGTATCCCATCTCTCGCGCACATTCTAGCTAGGATAGCATCCAGGTCGTCGTCCGTTTTGGAAACATAGTAGCAATCTAAGGTCTTCATTCCTTTTAGATGCGGTGCCGTGGTTTTAGCGCTCTCACCTTGACCTTCGCCGGACACGTTTTGCGGCGTCTCTCCGGATCGGGATGGTCCAGCAACACTCATACCACCATGCTTGCTCCTGAGGTGGACGTGAAGTCCTTTGGTGGAACCTCCAGATATTTTCAGTACCTTTTTACAAAGACGACACTTTGCTGTGTGGCCATCTTGACTTCTTAGATAATGTTCCCACACCGCACTGCCTTTAAATTCAGCAAAATCCGACATTTTGGCAAAGTTAGCTATAGCTTATCACAAAGGCACGTAATTAATAATTATTCACTAACGGTAACCATGCCCAGGGCGCCCGGCCAGCCTCATGGATCGTCCAGCCACGGGGCACTGACAGTAACTGAGCCACCAGACGTGCTCCCACAGTCACACAGAGAAGACGGCCGACCTCTTCCCACTCGATGGACTCGAATTCGATAGTCGGCATAGTATGTCATCGTGCAAAATGATCTGTTAAACCGAGTACGCGAGGGACGTCGCGGGGAGCGAGAGATGAGCCGAGAGAGAGCTCGTCTCTCGCCACATTGTGAAGGCTGAGACGGTGTGAAACAATGTCAATTAGGTATATATGTAACCAATACTTGTGCATAACGACTTTGCGCGGCGTAAGTAAGATCTTTGGACATAAAACTGCACTGTAATGCGTTGTTACTCACTTACCTTTTTTTACATACCTACTATCAGCTACACTTTATGAACGATGTTTCTGTACGGAAAATATCGGGATCCCGAAATCCCGATGCTTCTAATCCCGAGATTCGGGATTAATACAATCCCGGGATCCCGGGATCCCGATCCCGGGATTATCAGCCCTAGGCGCCACCCTGTCCAACGAGAGGCGACGTCGTAGGGGAGAGTGGGGTAATTTGGCCGCTTTTTTTAGAAAACGATGTAACTAAAAATCGACAACACATTTCTGCATTTTCTCAACGCGGACAGGTGTGGCATACATTTTACTTTCTTGGACAGTAAACTTGAAATGATTAAGTAACTACTGATATTGAAATTGTGGCGGATTACAAAGGTCTGCAAAGCGGCCAAATTGCCCCACTAGCAGGGTTATTTGGCCGGGGGTGTGGGGCAATTTGGCCGGTGTTAGTTTGAGGCCATGATTTTTGTTATAGGCGAGTCAGCTTCACATTCAGCAATGACGCGTGTCCTACGACGCATTTGAAGCATTTTGGAGGTTGACTCACCCGTCACAGGGGTCGAAAATAGTCAAAATAGCGGCTCTAGATGCGATGACAGTTTTTTACGAATAACTTTTGAAGTAATCAAGTTAGGACAAAACAAAAAACACCATCGTAATTCTCTCGTCATTCCGCATCGAAACATGTATGTGTTGACCTCGAGAGGTCAAGGTCAAGATCAAGGTTGGCTTCAGGTCTCGTTACCTCAGGTCGCTTGACCTCAAGGTTACGTGAGTTCAAGGTCATCATGTATATCATTCGATGCGCCTTGACGAGCTGAACACAATGAGACCATTTGCGCGGCTGTATCTTTTTTCTGTAAGTATTTATTAGCAAAAAAGCGTTAGGTAACCTTTGATGACGTCACATGCCCTTACAGCTGTCCAATAGGAAATATGGCATCAAGGTAGTCAAAGTTGGTCATGAATTATGTCCTTTATGGTATAATTAACCATGACAACTCGGCCGTCCCAGCATAGTGACTCTGAGCGCACCGGCCAAGTTGCCCCGCTAGTCCCGGCCAAATAACCCCACATTGCCATTCTGAAATTTTTTGTCTATAAAGTCGTCATGGCTGTACAGAACTAGATGAAATTGCTCTTGGAGCCGCTGAACACCCTCAAAAATGGCGCTATAATGTTTTAATTCGTTTACAGCCCAAATACTACATGTTATACAAATTTTTAAACGGAAGTAAAAGTTACCATTTTCTAACGTAATTCACCTTTCATTAATTTTGAATAAAACTAAGAGGGGGAAAGTTTTGATATTTGTTCTCGAGTTAATTCTGCCGATGACAAATGAATAGAGACTAAAGTTATTTCATTCACTTTTATCAGCTTTCGTACAGGTGGGGGCGGCCAATTTACACCACCGGCCAAATTACCCCACTCTCCCCTACTTTGCAAAAGAAATGATATAAGTCAGAAGGGCGCTAACTTTGGCTTGCAGAGTGCTTGTATGAGCCGTTGAGGCGCTAGCCTTATAGCTAAGTGTGCCCTTTTAGCAGCAGGGATGCCATAACACATTATAGTGTGTTATATGGCATCCAGGCCCCTCTAGGTATACGTAGAGGGGCGATGGTTATGACTCGAGTAGCGCTCTTAAAATCGGTAGGCGCCTCACTGTGCGAGTGCCACATACATTTCATTACTCAGTGCAGAGGGGCACCAAAACTGGCACGAGGGCGCCTTCAGGAGCCAATCGGCAGCCTGCGGACTGGGGGCGCTATTCTAGCAAGGATGATGGCATAAGGTACTTGTCAGAGGGGCACTTCAACTACCTCAATGGTCGCATTGATACACGGAAGGGCGTCACTCTGTGGTGCGAGGGTCGCCATTATTAGCAAAAGGGATGATTTAAGACGTAAGTGTAGTCAGACGGGCACCAACTTTGGCTTGAGGGGCGCATGTTAACGAATGGGGCACGCTACTTAGCTAAGTATTTATTTGCCGCAAACGGCATACCGTCCCTCAAAAACTTTACACAAACGACCTACCCTTTTTGCATGGAGGCGCCCCATTAAGCCTCATAGGTGCCCCTCTTTCGCATGTAACGGCCCATATGGCTAACAGAGGCGCCCCTATAGACCTCACCGGCGCCCCTTTTTCCCATTGAGGCGCTCCTTTGAGGTCCTCTTTCTAAAATGGGCCTCAAAGGCATCCCTATTTGGCATACATGATGCAGTCGCCCCTCTTTCGTATGGGGGCGCCACTATGGCCTTCCTTGGCGCCCCTTTTGCACGTGGTCGCCCCTATACTATCATAGGTCTAAGAGGCACCCCTAAGGGCCTCAGAGACCAATAGGGTGCCCCTCTTTCGCATGCAGGCGCCCCTATTGCCATCACAGGCGCCCCTCTTTTGCATTGAGGCACCCCTATGGAGTGCATAGGCGCCCCTCTCTCGCATGTAGGCGCTCCATGGCCTCAGAGGTCCCAAGCTCATAGGCCATGGCGCCCCCCCCCCCCCTGAGGGATGGCGCTCCTATTGCAGTTTTTTTTCTCACCACGATCTGTTGAGCGTGGTTACGACCCTGGCCCGTGAGGGCGCCTTTTGGGCCAAGGGGCGCCCACCAAAGTTGGGGGGGGGGGGCAAACGGGATGTTGGGGTGGCAGAATTTCAAGTTGGGGGGCACCTGCCCCCCCCAAAAAAGTATACAAAGTTACGCCCCTGGTCTTGGCCTGCGGCGGTTTCGGGCCGACGCGCGGTACTCGCGCTGTGGCGGGGAGCGGGGACGGTCGAGCGGTGCCGAAAGCCGGCGGAGTTGTGCGTAGCGTCTTGTCTGACAGTGCCCAAAGAGCGACATGATGACTGAGGAGCCATAAATGCTCAATGCGCATTGCTTGTACAATGCTGATAGGTTCGCTGACGGCTGATATTTGTTTTATTTTTCATAAGCTGCAAATGACGGGCAGATGGCATATACCTGACATAAGGTTAGGAAATATTCACCTGTAGGTATTTAAAGCCTATGGCGTTGCAGATAACTAATGTGATAATGGGATTTCGGATGTCATCAAGTAGTTGCTGATTTGTACATCGCTATGCAACCATCGAACAACGTAATAATTAATTAATTACCTTCGCTTCACATCATAAGGCTCGCTCGTATTTCAAACATACATATATCCTACATCGAGCATCGTATTTGTTAGGAATCTTTAACGTTTGTTCGAAGCATGTGTGAATAGTAGGTTGAGGAGTGATGGCCTCTTGGTCCTATATACGAGAGTCAACAAGAGCTTAACATTTACTTGACCGTCTGCTGCAATTGATACATAGCACGTGAAGCGTCAGCGAAATGCATAGTCCTTTACAGATGGCAGGGGTGTCGTTTGTACAGAGGTCGCTGATGGGCACGGGTCAATGCCGCAGCCGTGGGCGGAGCCTAATGTCATATGACGTAGGAAGGCCTCTATCCAGTATGGAAAAACAGTTAACATTACGAGTCAACGACAAGTGCCACAAACATTTAAGTGACAACAAAACGTATTTGAAGAAAAAGTTTCGGCAGGTCTTGAAACAGCTATTTCCTAAATATGGTTGAAATTCTTCCGCGCATTAAAAAACAATCGCGAAAAATTAGGGTTTCAAGGGGTCTGGCGTTAACAGTAGGCGCCGTCATTCATAGTGATGCTGCTGGCCTCCGAAATGATAATGCCGCCTCTTAAAGTGAAGCAGCCGTCTATAGAAAGTGTTGGCGCCGCCTCGTCGGCGCACCGGCGCTCTCGTGTTTCTGTAAAGCGGCAGCTCTACTCAGAACCGGCTGAAGGCCGAACCTTGTGAAGGTCACGGCCGCTGCGCGGCGCTCGGCCGGCTCACGTGGGGGACGAATGCAGACAAATGGCCGGTTCGTCAGTGGTCTGTGCCTTTGTGTTTGTTTTTATGTAGAATATCAACGGGTGAGTGATATTTCGATACAGGTATTGGTTTGTATGTAGCTTGTAAGTGTGTCATTTCGATATGTGTTGATTATTAAACAGCTTCACATGATAAAAGGAAATGGCGATGCTGCGAAGGCAATCTGGCGCTGCGCCAAATTTGTGGATAATTTTTTGTTGAGCTTGTCGATCGACCACAAACGCATATTGAGCGATAATTCTGATAGTTGTGTGTTATTTATTCGATTACGATATGGTATATCGGTACAGTTGTGATATATTTTCCTCTTTTGTGTGCATTTCAGCGTTGTGCTAATGGCGCTTATACGAGGTCGAAGTTGGTGCGACCAAGAACCCGTTTTGCACGCTGAGACTTCGCATGGGAGGCAAAACTTGTCGGTATGAACTGAACTGGGGATTTAGACTGTCATTATCTGTAAGAAATTGTATACAATCATCACTTGTCACTGCGACTGAAAGTGTTTGCATTTTTGTATTTAAAGGTGTTCCGAGATAAGATACGAAAGTTACCTAGTAAACAATATATTTGAAACGCGTCAGATAAGATATAAACAAAGGGAAATTGTATTTGTATGATAAGTAACGATTCATGATAGAAATATTGTAGGACGTCATGAATGTGGTGTTGACATGACCGAAACTGAGATGGTTTCTTTTGTTTGTGTGCAGTTACGGCACCACGGCAGTAAATACAGCCCGTTCGACGACAACTCCCCGTCTCTGCAAACGGCGTGCGAACAGAAAGTGATGATCCAGCAACTCAATGTGACAGTGCCGCCCCTAAATCTGTTAGTAGACCCACTCAATGTAATGGTGCCGCCCTTCTAAGCATCTGAGGAGCCCCTCAATGTGATGATACCGCCCCTCAAGAAGATGATGCCGCCCCTTTCAGTATCGGTGGCGCCCCTCAAGAAGATGATGCCGCCCCTTTCAGTATCGGTGGCGCCCCTCAATGTGATGGTGCCGCCCTCAAAGTGCCGGTGGCGCCCCTGAATGTGATGGTGCTGCTCGCAAACGAGTCGGTGGCGCCCCTCAAAATGATGCTGCCGCCCCTTAAAGTGCTGGCGCCGCCCCTTAAAGTGTCAGTGACGCCCTTCGAAGTGTCAGAGGAACCCACCAATATAATGGTGCCGCCCCTCTGGGCATCCACATAGCCCCTCATTGTGATGGAGCCGCCCCATCAAGCAGATGATGCCGCCCCTCAAGAAGATGATGCCGCCCCTGAATGTGATGGTGCTGCCCGTCAACAAGTTGGTGGCGCCCCTCAAAATGATGCTGCTGTCCCTTAACCCGCGCCCTGCTGGGGGGGGGGTGTTTGAACACCCCCCCTTGTGGTTTTTCGCAAATATCTCAAAAACGGCGGCGCGGAGCGCCGCCGTTTTTGGTACACCTTATCATACATCAATTCTACACATGTTGTGAAAATTTCAGGCCAAGGTCATTCAAGGTCAGGTCACCAGGTCACTTGAAGTGACCTCACCTCATAAAAAGTTTCAATGTCTGTCATAGCTACACCGAGTGACCGATTGCTTTGAAACTTTCAGCGATTGCTTAGAGCAATAGCATGTACAAAATGTATATCTCAGAATTTTGATATCGATGACCTAAGGTCAGGTCAATTTTGCGGCCTCCCCATTATAAGTCAATGGGAGAAAATTGAAATGCGCCTCTTTTGGACGAAAGACATTATAAACACTCCCAAACACCGAATTACAAGTGGCTTAGACACACTGAACATGAAAATGGTGTCCGTGACCCTTGTTTATGCCCTGAGGTCATCTTAGGTCACGAATGGTATCTAACAGTTTTTCGCAAATAACTTTTGATAGAGGCATGCTAGAGCGATGAAAACGCCTTATATGTGTTCAGCTCGACGATACGGATCGACTGATATGCAACATGACCCTTTCCGGTCAGGTCATGACCTTGACCTGAGGTCAAATTTTCAAGTTGACCTTTCAAGGTCAAGTTATAGTTCATTCGATGCGTCTTGACGAGAGGAACACGATGCCGGTAAAAGTAAGCTCGTACAGGGCTTGGGTCAAAAGTTATTGCAGAAAAACTGTTTCCGAAAAAATCGGCTATTTTTGCAGTTTTTGCCCCCTGCAGGCAAAACCGTTGACGTTAGGTCAAATCTGAGAGAATTACTCAGAAAGGGCGTTAATAGGGCTATCGAATGCGCTTTTCCGCGGCGCTGTAGCTCTATTGGTTCCCGAGTTATGCGTTGGCTTCTTGGAAATTTTCGCCATTCGACCTGGAAATCGGCGAAATTTTGCCTTCAATGACCTCTGGTGACCTGACCTTTGACCTGACCAAAAAATTGACTGAAGTGATTTCGTCATTATTTTTGACGCTCTTTCGAACGCCGCCTTCCGCGTATCGCTACGTGGCCCAGGAGCCGAGTTACAAGGGGGGGTGTTAAAACACCCCCCCCCCCCAGCAGGGCGTGGAAATCCAGGACCCCCAGCCGGGCGCGGGTTAAAGTGTTAGTGCCGCCCCTTATAGTGTCAGTGACGCCCTTCGAAGTGTCAGAGGAACCCACCAATATAATGGTGCCGCCCCTCTAGGTATCCACATAGCCCCTCATTGTCAGGGGCGTAACTTTGTATACTTTTGGGGAGGCAGGTGCCCCCCCCCCAACTTGAAATTTTGCCACCCCAACATTCCGTTTGCCCCCCCCCCCCCCCCACACCTTGGTGGGCGCCCCCAGGCCCGAAAGGCGCCCTCACGGGCCAGCGGCGTCATAGGAGCGCGTGCGCCATCTTTCAAGGGGCGCCATCGCCTATGGAAATGGGATGCGTGAGAGGGGAACCTCTGAGGCCTTGGGGGCGCCTGCATGCGAAAGAGGGGCGCCCATGAAGTCCTCAGGGGCGCCTCAATGCAAAACACGGGCGCCTGCATGCGAAAGAGGGGCACCTTATTGGCCTCTGAGGCCCTTCGGGGTGCCTCTGAGGTCTATAGTATAGGGGGCGCCCACATGAAAAAGGGGCGCCCATTAAGGCCATAATGGCGCCCCAATACGAAAGAGGGGAGACTGCATGCCAAATGGGGGCGCCTCCGAGGCCCATAGAAAGAGGAGCTCCAGTTGAAGCCCAAAGGGGCGCCTCAATGGGAATTAGAGACGCCTGTGAGGTCTATAGGGGCGCCTCTGATGCCCATGTCGAGAGAGTCGTCAGTCGTTTGTGTAACGTTCCTCAGGGATGGTGCGCCGCTTGCGGCAAGTAAAAACTTAGCTAAATAGCGTGCCCCATTGGTTAAAAAGCGCCCCTCGAGCCAAAGTGGTACCCCTCTGACAACACGCACGTCTTATGTCATCTGTTTTGCTAATAACTAATGCCCCCGCACGCAGAGCGGCGCCCCATCCGTTTATCAATGTGCCCCTTCAGGTGGATGAAGCGCCCCTCTGGCCAATACCTTATTGGTCATATGATATATACCTTATACCTTATATCATATGATACTTGTTTAGTATCCATGACAGGTTGGATGATGATGTAAATAATAAACCAAATTATTACAAATGCATTCAAATATATTCAAAAAGACACACAAAGCTTTCGGTTCATGGAACCTTGATCACTGTGCAAATGAGTATAACAATCGCTGTAACCGTCTAAAAATTCTTTGAAATTAATCAGCCGCGTGTTTTCTTCTTCAGAGGCCTGTTTCACTAACAAATAAAGTGTGTAATTACAAAGAAAAAACTTGAGTTTAAAAGAAATGATTACCAACATTTGAAATTTGGATTTCACGAAACCTTCGGGCATGAATTTTGAGTTTAAAATTTACCAACTTTTTTACAAGAAAAAAGTTTGTAAGAAACATCGAAATCGCAAACTTTCTGTTTCACGAAGACCAAAAACTTGAAAGAAAACGTTGTACTTACAAACCCGAAATTCCAGTGGCCCTTACGTTCGGAATTTTATTACTTTTTTTTGCAATGATGCAAAGCAATCAATTATTTAAAACAAATATGATATGCTGAGTCATTTTATGCTCTTTTTCATTTAGCACATTCCCTACGAACCAGCTACGAGCAATAAATAAATATCGTCATGTTTTGTCATTCGCGCGCCATAATTGCATTCAACAGTCTTCTGCTGTCAAATGTTTTACGTGCTATTTTCTTTCAATAATAAGATATTGTGAACTATAATTTACACCATTCAGAAACAGCATTATTATTTTTAATTTATTCCTGCAATTTCTGACATGAATACTAGACATAGTTTGATAAAAAGAAGCAATATCTGTAACATGTTATAGTTCTTGATTAAAAACAATTTTACTGTTTACAAGTTTATTTACCAACTCTTTTTATCGGAGGTGCCGCTGGTGATGAAGTTTAGTGAAATCCGATTTTACATAGTTTGCAAAAATACTTATGAATTGTAAAGTTCAAACACTTGTAATCGCAAGTTTTTAGTGAAACAGGCCTCTGGTCGTCAATGGCAGCAAAATCGGTGGTCGTCAATGGCAGCAAAATCGGTGGTAGACCAGCAGAAGAAGAAAACACGCGGCTGATTAATTTCAAAGAATTTTTAGACGGTTACAGCGATTGTTATACTCATTTGCACAGTGATCAAGGTTCCATGAACCGAAAGCGTTGTGTGTCTTTTTGAATATATTTGAATGCATTTGTAATAATTTGGTTTATTATTTACATCATCATCCATCATATGATACACTACATATGATTGCAAAATATGAAGTGAATGGAAAGAAAACATTTGCTCATGTATGTTCCCCTTTGCACACTGTAGCTCATAAGTATTATCAGTGGGAAAAGGGCTGTTTTACACGATGCAATTAATGATTTCTACAAACGGTTTGTATTAATTGACTTTTGGGGAACGGGTTCAACTGGTTCCGATTCCAACTTAGACCGGGTCCGACTGGTTCCAGAAATGTCCAGCCGGGTCTGGTTCGAGTCTGGTTCCCAAAATTTTCACGTTTTGCCACCTCTAGTTCAAAGCAGGAGTAATTTGTATCATTTCGTGATAACTTGATATCACCTGGTGAGCCACAGACTTCTGCATGTCTCGGTATACAGAGGTATATGGGTGACCTAAGCTTGAACGCTCTCAGCCTGGGATTAACCCGCGCCGGGCTGGTGCTCCGCGACTTCCGCGCCGGGCGGGGAGGGGGGTGTCTGGTCTAACTTGGCTCCTGGGCCACATAGCGACACGCAGTAAGAAACATTCGAAAGAGCGTCAAAAATAATGACGGAAACACTTCGGTCATTTTTTGGGTCAGATCAAAGGTCAGGTCGCCAGAGGTCATCAAAGGTCAAATGTTGGCCATTTCAACAATTTTGGAAATTGCAACGGCTAACTCGGGATCAGTAGAGCTACAGCGCCGCGGAAAAGCGCATTCGATAGCCCTTTTACAGACCTTTCTGATCACTGTTCTCAGATTTGACCTCAGGTCAACGGTTTAGCCTCCAGAGGGCAAAAACTGTAAAATAGCAGTTTTCACGAAAACTGTTTTTCGGCAATAACTTTTGACTCAAGAGTGTCACGACATTACTTTTGGCAGCATCATGTTCCTCTCGTCGAGACGCATCGAATGAACTATTTGTTGACCTTGAAAGGTCATTTTTAAAATTTGACCTCAGGTCAAGGTCATAACCTGACCGAAAAGGGTCATGTTGCATATCAGTCGATCCGTATCGTCGAGCTGAATACATCTGACGTGTTTTCATCGCTCTAGCACGCCTTTATCAAAAGTTACAGCCAAAAAACTGGTGGTGACCGTTCATGACTTGAGATGACCTCAAGGGCACACAGAGGGGTCACAGGTGCATTTTCCAATTCAGTGTA